ACATGTCATCATCTTCTCAAACCTTTTTTTTTTTAATTTTCCTGAAAAACCGTTGTTAAAAGTTGCCAACTAAAATCTTAATAATATGTATTGATTGATATAGTGTGTCCTATGTCAAGTACACCTCTGTACTTGACCGTGTATCGTATGCACATATCCCTTTAAAGAATTATTGTACATGATGTGTAACAGCCGCTCAAGATGAAAAAACTTTATAAAAAAAAATTATAGCCCCTTTGATTCACAAATTTACAATTTATATTTTTAATTTTATTATAATGTTTTCTCTCATAAAAAATTTAATCAAAAAAGTTTCACTAATAAATTCTCTCACAAAATTTGAATTCTAAATTAAAATTATAAATTTGAACTCATGATATTCGAAACCATACGTAAACATGTAAGGATAATTATTTAAAGGCTTTCGGGGTAGGGGCAAAAGGAATATACTCTCTCTCTACCAATTTGGACATTAGGTACTGCATTTGACCGTACTCTCATTGGTCGAGTTCCAATTTGACCAAACCAACCGTACCTATCCATGTGAATACACACAAGAAAAGGACATGTAACAAATGTCCTTTGTGTAATTATGACGTTCCAAGTTGATATGTTACGTACGTATGTTCTAGAATTTACGGAGACTATATATATATATATATAAATAAGTAGAACGAGCAACTGCATGTATACTATATATACAATGTGGTGAATTGATTACTTGCATATATATCAACTTTCTTGTTTTGAAATGTGCTTTCTCTACGAGATGAATTAGTCCAAAAGTGTCTTTTAGCATATAATAACAATATTATAATATACACTTGGATAATTAATATTTGTAATGATTGATCAAGTGGCCATGAATCCTCCTCAATTTTCATAACTGTCTAAGGGAAGAAGATTAAGGACAAGAGAGAACCGAATAAACACTTTTAGCATTTTTTAGTCATAAAATAGTAATTTATAAACTTTACGACAGAAGCGGTAATGTTCTATTAATACCAACCTCATTGAAGTCAATATGCGGCCCAATAGCGGTCAACTATTAACATGCTAATATGAATTGAAAGTGATGTTCAAGAGAATAAGTTTATGAACAAGTTGCGTGACATTTAAAAACAAAAACAAAAACAAAACAAAAATCGAGAGAAAAACAAAAATGGGAGCCTTGGAGCTACAATATGAAAGGTAAAGGCTCGTCTTCATCAACTAATAATTGCTTAATATCTTAGAACTATATGGGAGTACTTTCCCTCCTTCAATTTTTTATTTCGATCTAATACCTTTTTGGATTTTGGGTTAATAATCTTGTGTTAAAATGCATATGTTAAATATAGTACTAATCAGAACTCAATAAGAAATCCATCTTAAGTCCTAAGTTTAATTAGGACTCATTTAATTCATAAGTTTAAATAGAAAGTTAAATTTTATGAGAGAGAGCATTGTAGTAAAAAGGTTTTGAACAATAGTTTGAATTTGTCAAGCAAACGCATGCTCAATTTTCTAATAACTTTCTACCGCTTTACGTACACATTCTAATTCGAAAATAATTAAAAAAACTCATTGCATCAATAAAATGTCACTGAATCATTTGTAATAAATACATATAAGCATCATTATATTATTGTTTTTATACTATCCTTTTAGAAATTTTCTGGTACGTCTATATATATAATAATATGTATACTTGTGTAGAAGAAATAATGGCACTGTAACTTGTTTATACACAGATTACTAACCTTAAACAAATTGTCACGTACATGTACTAGTTAAAAATAGAAAGTAAATACTAATAATGAAAGAATTTTCAATAAAGAAAACGTAGAAACAAACGAAGTAAAATATGAGGGCAACTTTGCTTTGATTTCTTGACACGTAAACGTACATGACAATATATATATATATATAGTCGATCAATTAACTAATTTCTTTTTTACATTATTGATTAGATAGTACATACACTGAATCGAAGGTACTGATGATGATGAAAGAAATTATAGCTAACTAGGTACAAATTATATTTAAAGGGGTAGCTTATTACTTGCTCCCAACAAGTAATTTGCTTATATTTATTTATTTATTTGCCCGAAGTTGTCCTGATCTTAATTAACAGTTTGATCATTCTATTTGTTGTCTTGATCCTTCTCTAACGATGAGGAAGCGTTTGTTTCTTCGATCGTGTTTAACTTATAGGCAAACGCTGCTTGGACAAAAGTGATTGCTACGTTGTCTAAGGTTAAAGGCTTTGATGTTATATTTTTCGTAGCAATTTCAGCCATGTACTTGGCATCTAAACCTTGGCTGCTCACAGCTTTGCCTGTGGTGCAGTAAACAGCAAAAGACTCGCAGTTGTTGTCCAAGAAGTCGTAGTCGCCGAACCCTTTGCCTTCTAACATCTGAATGGGTCGTTGGACGACAACATAGGGTGCGTCGGAGGATCCCATGCTGCATGTTCCTAAGTTTTTTGTACAGAAGTGGGCCTTGGAAACGTTGTACTCAAAACGATAGAGCTTGTGGCCCCTCAGGAAGCAATCGATACATGTTTTCACCACCCCTCTTTGTGCACTCCTCTGGTAGTCGCAGATGTTGCAAGTGTATACTTGATTCCCCGGGGAGATCCGTTGATCTGGTGAAATGGATCACCCGGTTCTTATCCACATATATTCCTGCCATATATGAGAGCAAATAATATTTCCTAATATAATTAAGCACTATTAGCTCTTTGTTGAAGTTTGTTAACTACTTACTCATCAGGTACTTAAATATGATTCTGCAGTACAAGATATCAGATGCTCAAGTAATTAAGGAACTCTATAGGAGAAATTAATTATTTTGGCACCAATTGTTGTTAATCGAGGACTGCAGTGGCAAAAAGGCTATGCGGCAAGGCGCATGTATATAGCCAAACGCAGCTCATTCGAGGTCCCAAAAGAGAAAATATATATATATATATATATATATATATGAAGGAACTCTATAGGAGAAATTAATTATTTTGGCACCAATTGTTGTTAATCGAGGACTGCAGTGGCAAAAAGGCTATGCGGCAAGGCGCATGTATATAGCCAAACGCAGCTCATTCGAGGTCCCAAAAGAGAAAATATATATATATATATATATATATATATGTATGAATTGTCTTAAGTCCGGCACCTAAACCGGTCGTGCATGTGTAATTTTTTTTCTCTGTATGCTCTTATAACATCATTTGTGTGTAACACTCAGTTTGTTTTGATGTATAACATTTAATAAATATATTTTAACACGTAACATTGAGTGTTTACGGGTATATGAAAAAATTACACGTACAAATAAACGATATTGTTGGTACCAGTTTGAGTCTTTTAGTACTTTATAAGACAATATAAAGAATGCAGAGATGTGAAATAAAAGAACACGAGAGAAATGGTATCGCGGTTTAGTCACAACCTACTCCGCGGGGCCACGCCCAGAGATGAACAATCCACTAAGAACTCTTTTACAATTCAATTAAACTTAATCTATCTGAGACTCCATTTCTAAGAAGACGCTTATGAACTTACAATTTCCCAATGGACTTGAACAGCGAGATCCCCTAGACTTTTTAACATCGGAATCCCTCCAACTAAGTTTTTCTCTCGAAAATACTCAAATCATCTCTCTGAATACAAGGGCTCACCCCTGTCTCACAACGCAACAAAAACTTATCAAAAGGCGTACAATAACTCTCGAGACTCTTTGAATAAATAAGCAGAAAGTTAAAGGCTTGACGACCTCTTCAATTAATTCGCTGAACCAAATCTGTTGCAGATTCTTATTGCAACAATAACTATAACATAACTGTCAAGATCAACTTTCTCAAAACCAATCTAAACAAGATCATGTGTTATTTTCTTTAATTGGTGGTCTTGCATTGTGAAATTCATGTGTTCATTTTTTTTTCTTTCAACAATTTTCTCTTCTAATTTTTCTGTTTTGCTTCCTCTGATCCTTGAACTTCTTCAACGCAGTGACTACATGATTTAGTCATTCAACAAGTTTTAGCTATCTGGTAAGTGATACTAAACAATTACACCTTTCTTTATTGTTAGAGGTTGACCTAAAAAGTGGCAATCTGCTCTAATGACTGCCTCCTTATCGCAGGTTTCTTCAACACGATAAAGCTCAATCTGGAGTAGTTGATTAATGATTGATTAGCCACAACAGCATTAAGTCTATGGCCATGATTTGGCACGAAAGGCAGAGACTCTTATTGCTTTTTTCATTCTATTTGTGCTTTCTTCACGAGTGTACTCAGTGACTCTTAATTATGTTGTTAATTTTGTGCTTGATGATTGTAATGTTTTCTATCATGTAGCTTTCCGATTTTATGACACTATTTTCTGTATAAAACTCATTAATTAGCTAGAAAACTATAACATATATAACAAATGCAGATGAAAATGTGACCCCACTTAGCATACTTGTCTGATATGTTGCTTTCTGTAACTTTGGCTCAGTTCTGCATGGCTTTGGTAGTTTGGTTTTATCTGTTTCTGATGAAGCAAAGAGAACTGAGCAAGATAAGATTTGCAATATGTTCACGAAGCAAACCGGATTTTCAAAGCCGAAAACTCATGTAGTGTTTCATACTAATGCCTTTTTGGATCAACTTGTTTGATGTCGATTTGTACGAATTCGTTTGTTCCTCTGCTGCCTCTGTTTCAGCAGTTTAGGCACTGTCCTTTAACTTCTAGTATTTTACTATATTATTAGATGATAGCTTAGAGGAAGTAATTAATATGTTAAAAAAGTTAGCCGATCATAAATTTATATCAGACTTAGGAGACAAAGCTACTACAGAAAACATCAAATAGTAATAACAGATCTAGTAATTTCATTCTTTATCAAATTACAAACTCGATAATATTTATAAGAAAATAACAGTACAACAATTCAAAAAGTATTACAATCTTTATCAAATTACAGATCTAGTAATTTCATTCTCAATAGCTGCCTCCATCGAATTCGACGTTCCTTCATATACCACCCAAGCCAACCGCAATCAGCCCAAGCGTTGTTGCCAAGCTCATTAAACTACTCAAAGAAGGCACGGCCACGTCAACGTTAGACTTGGCAGAAACCTCATGAGCGCACTGGGGATGGCCCGTCATGCACAAAACCGCAAAGCTGACAGAGTTTTGGTCGAAAAGTTTGAAGTTACCATAATCAGCACACCCATTGTTGTCGAGAATCTTAGTGGCTCGTCCAACGACAACATCCGGGTTGTCGCACGGCCCGGTGTAACACGTCCCCGGTAATTTAGCTAGGTAGTGAACTGAGCTCACTTCGTATTCAAACCGGTGAAGCCTGTGTCCATCAAGGAAGCAGTCAAGGCAGGTCTTGACCACTCCTCTCTGCATGCTTGGGTCGTATCCACAGGTGTTGCAGACTCCATTTGATGTCGATGGGCTCATGTAGTGGATCACTCTATTCTCTCCCACATAAATTCCTGAACGTACAAAATATATATAAATATATATATATAAGCAATAAGTCCAATGTTAACCTATCTAGACATGCACATATTAATATTAATATTAAAAAAGAATAATGCTTAGAGACACCCAACATTTTTTACCGATTTATGTAGCATGTGAGTTGTTATTTTTTTATTAGTAAATGTTTAAAAGATTACCATGTTAATTAATAATAAATGATCTACCAGTAAAAAGATGAGAACTCTATACGACATAAATTGATACAAAATAGTTAGAATTAGAGTTTGTATCTCTAGCACTGCTATTCCTACAGAGAAAAAATCACAAAATATAAACATGTGTGTGTGTGTGCGCATATATATACTGACCATGGTTAGTGTATAAATGGGCTTTTCTATAGCTGTAAATGTGATCCCCTTTTTTGAGCTCGCTCTTATCAATCTTGTTGGAAAGCCGACCCATTGGGTGCGTTTGGAATTGGTTCCAAAACGTTTTTATTTTCTGTACGAAAATGAAAATGAAAACGTTTTTAGTTTCATTTTTGAATTATTTCTAAAAATGCGTTTGGTAGTTTTATTTAGAGATTGATTTCAGTTTTAAAAAAAACTGAAACTGCGTTTGGTGGTTTAATTTTTGAAAACATGTAATAATATATTAAATAAATAATATTATTAAATATATTAAATAAATAATAT